TTTCGACTTACTAACTCGAAATTTCGACTTACTAACTCGAAATTTCGACTTACTAACTCGAAATTTCGACTTACTAACTCGAAATTTCGACTTACTATCTCGAAATTTCGACTTACTAACTCGAAATTTCGATTTATTAACATTACAAGAATGGCCAAAGTTATTAGTTAGATGGTATAAGATATAGTAGGCAGTGCCTTTGAACGATTCCAGAGATGGAGAAACGGGTGCCTGGACAAAAACTATTGAACTTTAACTTAAACTTAGTAATGGCATGTACACACCCGACCTAAAAAATACAAGGCTTCCTTTAATTTGTACGTTCAGGCGTTCTTCAGACGTTGTATTGTATCCCATCTGTTCGAACATATCTTTTCACTAATCATATTCTTCTCATCCCTGTAAAAAAACCGATCCTATACTTCACGTGTGAGACATCTGAGGAAAGTATCGCGGCGTGGCCAAAATAGGGCGTGCTGAGGCCTTTGTCAAAATTGTTGGACTGACTATATTTCTTGTAAAATCGGATGCTTTTATATTATTCCCAACATATATATAACAACAAGTATCACTTTTATCAACACAATATGAATCAAAGTATTAGTAAATAATGAATAAATAAATGTTACAAAAACATTATTAGTATAAAGAAACGTGACAGACTAACTGGCGTATACACGCCATTTAAAACTTACTTAACACATGATATTGCACAGTTTACAATAGGGTGGGTTTTGGACTTGTTGTTTCTCCACATGATGGTTGTATGTGTGCTTAAGAAAAAGAAACACCCGGTTAACACGGAAATGTGGAAAGTGTGATTTTACACCCTCCCCCCTCCACAAAAAAGCGAAGGATATGTTCAGTATGTGTGGACAATTTGACCCTATAAAATTGTTCTGTTAAATAAATATTAAAGGTGCTCTGTCAATGTGCAACAGCTACACACGAGAGAAAGTATCTTGAATTCAATCCTTGCTTTCACCGGCAACCAATGAAAGTCGTGCAATGTAAGTCGAAATTTCGAGTTAGTAACTCGAAATTTCGAGATAAGTAACTCGAAATTTCGAGTTAATAAGTCGAAATTTCGAGTTAGTAAGTCGAAATTTAGAGATAAGTAAGTCGAAATTTCTAGTTAGTAACTCGAAATTTCGAGTTAATAAAAAACATACACCTGGCACTAATGCTCTTCCGTAGGTTGCCGATAGGGGGCATACATGTTTTACAAACATACCTTGTTTATTTACATATTTGATAGTACTTATGACAACGACGTTAGATTTTAATTCACGCTGGCAATGTAAATGCGGCGACTTAACAGTTTTACTGGTGGAAGAAGACCTCAGGGTCCAGTTCTTCTTGCACCAGAGTTGAACCACTTACATAGCTTAATCGCTTCCTCGCTTGAAAAAACCTAATTAAAGCACCTGCTGGGATTTGACCAGGGCAAGATAATTGAAGTCCGCGGGCTTTACCATTCGGCCAAATCCAAATGACATGTTGATTAATGAAAGTATGACTTTGATCTTTAAATGACCATCACTGTCAAGTTCATGTGTGAAATTATTTAAATTCTGTAAAAAAGAAGATGTTCAAACATTTTGATTAATTCAATCATTCATAAACCAATTGTGTTGTTGTTTGTAGTCGGCATGTACACTAACAAAATTTTTTGCCTCTACCGTAAGCACCTTTTTCGTCCCTTCGGTATTCTCACGTCGCTGAGGACTAGCTGCCAATGTACCGACTGAGTCGCTGTGGATGACGAGGAATGGTACCCATAGTACGTAGTTACAATTCGAAAGGCAGGCCCATGCTTGACACCAACAACTTTTATCACCGTTTTGTGCTTCAAATTAAAACATACACGGGTTCCGTTCTCGATAGCGAAAGCTACTTTTTTGCGGAGCCTCATTCAACATAAGACTACAAATAGCCTATATACGAACGTAATGCATATAAGAATATCCTTTCTAAGTCGTATTGTAGGAAGAGCTTAGTTACTTGCATGCAGCAATATAGATTTCAACAAATTACATGAAATAATCATGTACTTGCGGTCATAAATATACCCACTCCGCTAGTGATATTCAGTATCATATAGATATTTTGTCTAAAACAAGCTTCCAATACTGTACTGTCCAATGTCGAATAAGATCACACGATGCAAAACTGGTGCTTCATTGGTTATATTGTATAATGTAGAGCTTCGTCCTAGGTTTTACAGCTGTGTATTCGTTCAAAAGAATTCAGTTATGTACACAACAATCAATGAGTAACAACCTCATATTTTTCACATCTTATAAAATGTTACCGATAAAATTTGAGCACATGCACCATGTGATTTCATGTAATCCACATAAATAATCTTTGGATCCAAATTCGTTTTCTTTATACTACATTACATCCGTTTTGTACTTTCTCTAGCTTACTTTTTATCTTCCTTGTCCAAAACATCTGTATCGCATCCATATTGTACTCGGTCCATCTGACATTGCTTTCACCGTCGGAGTAAAACTATCGTTTCAATTTAAAGTTGTTTTATATACACGTCGTAGTGATGTTATCGACTTAATACTTATTTTACTTATAATGTTAATTAAAAAAACGTGTTGATTTTGTATGTTTGCTTTAATTTGATATACATGTATTTGTTGATTTGGAAGTGTGAAATCATTATATATTGACGAGTACGATACTAATTCTATTGGACTTCTATTGTACATAACTGCAAAACTTTACAACTACACATGAATGTACTCCGCATTGTATTAAAAATATTTTATTTAAATAGATGGAAACAATGCACAACAGTATAAATCTATGTAATGACATCCGTGCGTGGCCGAGTGGTTAACCTCCTTGGCTTCAAACCACACGCGCCCCACCGCCGTGTGTTCGAAAACAGCTAAGGAATTTGGATTTTTTTAAAAGTGAGAAAGCTATCCATATAGCTTACGGAACGACAGTGATTCTATTCAGATGTCTTGTTCGTGCCTGAAATAATTCACGAAGGGATACCAGAGGTCTTCCTCCACCAGTCAGACTGAAATGTCGCCGTATAACATGTACAGTGTTGGTGCGACGAAAATTGACCCAAAAAGGTGGCCAATAAAATGCTCTATGGTAGAATCTATTTTTTTTAAAACTTGATAGATTTAGAAATGTTCTAAAAAAGATCATTTTAGCTCGACTATACAAAGTATATGAAAATCTGTCCTACCCACCCGGCGCCCGCGTTCAGATTTCAGTGAAGTAAAACATTTTTTACTACTAACTTCTTCATGTTCACATTATACAATTATGTGACAAGGTTCATAACTCTAGAAGCAATATTTTCAGAAACTTGGAATAAATCGGAAGATGTCTAAATCACATCTATTGTTTATGTTTGAATAATAGGATCCACCATCACTTTCCTATATATTAATAGTTATAAAGATTTTTGACAAGTTATATGGCCCTATATAAATGGTTGTTTGGAAATATTATCTAATGAAAATATTTATATTTAAACAAATTTTGGTTATATTTTGTGTAACATACGGTACAACCTTTAACGGTGTGTGCCGATAAACGAGGACATTTCATGACAAAAATAACTACATATATATGTATATTATTTATATGAACATTTATTGTGTTACAAAGTGTCATCTATGTATTGATGGTAACTACAAACATGAAAAGCGAATGACATGAAATTAAAAAAAATATGCTAAAACATATCCAATCAAATAGTCGTCAGTCTTTTATTTGGCTTATATTTTGTTAACAAAATTTTTCTTTCATTCTTTATTGAACTGGCGAGTCTTTATCTTCAAGATAAAGCGCCAAGTTCTAGCCGAACATGTAACAAGGTGTAATATACATAGTAAAGATCGCTGTATGAAAACCAACTGTATCTTAAATCGGATATTGCGACGTGATAAATAATGGATTTCACATTGCGTTTGCATTATTTAATGGCCGGTGTAACGGACCCCCCCCCCCCCTGAAAATGAAACCAGTCAAATACCGACCCCCTCCAACCACCACCCTTAATTAATCGATCTTAAACTGGTTATGAACTGCTGAACGTTGCTGATTTGGTCGCAACATAAGAAGTACATTCGATCTATTTGACTTTTATTGACTGACGTTTTCTAAGTCTAAGAAAATTCGTTTTGTGTAGACCTTAATTTTTACATAGACTGATTTACATTTACCTACTTTTCTTGACCAGTGGTTATATTGTATGAAGAATTGTGTCTCTACGGTCATAATTCAACAGTGAAATTGACCCAATGTCTATAAGTTATTGCATTCTTTTAATCAAATTGCGCAATTCTTTCAAAACCTCTTTAATTGGAAATTGGTTCTGACTTGCATAAAAAAGTAAATATTATTATTGACAATTGTTCGGATTGTGTAAAATCACATCAACAGAAAACCACATGCACAGTCTGCGTTTGTGTTAAAACATCACACAAACTTTATCGCAGAAAACCATATACAGTCTGCATATGTGTTAAAAAGCACAACAATTTTATCGCAGAAAACCGTACAGTCTGCACGTGTGTAAAATCACATCAACTTAATCGCAGGAAAACATACAGTCTGCGTGTGTGTAAAATCACATTCAAAGTAATCGCAGACAACTATAAAGTCTGCGCGTGTGTAAAAATCACATCAATTTTATCGCAGAAAACCATACAGTCTGCGTGTATGTAAAATTACATTAACATAATCGCAGACATGTAACTATAAAGTCTGCATGAGTATGAAAATCACATCAACGTAATCGCAGAAACCATACAGTGTCCATGTGTGAAAAATCACATCAACGTTATCGCAGAAAACCATACAATCTGCATGAGTGTAAATCCACATCAACGTTATCGCAGAAAACCATACAGTGTCCATGTGTGTAAAATCACATTGATCAACGTAACCGCAGAACACCATTCAGTTCAAGTGTGTGTAAAAATCATATTATTGTAAATTCATAAACACTGATTTGGAATTTAGATGATTTTTCAATTTAGCCAATACAAGTTTAACGACGCATTTGAGATGACCTGTAGAAAATAACTTACATTTTCGTGCAATTAAAAGCAAAGGTTCATAAAACGATGCATTTTTTACACATTATTTTTTACAGAAATAATTGAATCAAGTTTCAATGTCCGGTTGATGATACAGCTGTTTTTTGTAAATGGTGAACGGTTGATGTGTGTAACAACTATGGTCATATATTTATATTTTTAAGATAAAAATGAATGAGATGAGCGAATGATTTTCTACTTAAAAAATCGATCAACATGAATTTAATGAAATTAATCAAATGATATATATATATGTACATGTTATTTACTTTAAAATGTGCTTACCAAAAGACATTCATCAAACCCAATCTTATTCTGCATGCTCATAATCACGTATCTAACCTACAAGCTTATGTGAATAATCACATTTTTATGTTTCTCATTTTTATGTTTCACCAACAGTTTCTGTTCGACTTCCAAATCTTTCAACATTACAATAGTTCGCGCAGTATTACCGATAACAACACGTTTTGTTACAACCTCACTGAATATTAAAAACAATGAAAAAACTATTTCTAAATAAAAATGGATATAGTTAAGTGTTACACTGCAGCAATATTAGCTTCCTCTGCTCCATTTGGTCGTTTTCTTAACTCCGGCGTAGGAGTTGACCCCTTGTTCGGGCCAGGGCTATCCACACAGACATCGGGCACATCAGTCTCGTTTTCGTCCAGTAAGGGAGGTAACTCGTGTTTTGATAGATGATACACGATACCCGCACCTAAACTATCGCCCATGACGTTTGTAAACGTTCGGAATCGATCCCTAAAAAAATATTCATAATTAGTTTTAAATCACTTTTATATTACTTAGTATATGCTGCTTTAATGAGTTTAGTACGGTGACACAGAGGTGAAACTCGTGTGTTTTTATTTATCTCGTGGGTACGATATACTATGTCGTGGCCAAGAGTTACTAAGTCGTGCGCGCGAGATAATTAAGTCGTTGGCACGAGTTACTAAGCAGTGTGCACGAGATAATTAAGATACTATGGGTACGAGATACTATGTCCTGGCCATGAGTTACTAAGTCGTGCTCACGATATAATTAAGGAGTGCGCACGAGATACTATACCGTGGCCATGAGTTACTAAGTCGTGCGCATGAGATAATTAAGTGGTGCAGACGATATACTATGTCGTGGCCACGAGTTACTTAGACGTGCCAGAGACATAGATCTATGTCTCTGGACGTGCGCACGGGATAATTAAGTGGTCGATATAAATAAAAAAAAACACACACATGTCACCTCTGTGCCACCGTAGTTTAGCAGTTTGATCGATCGGTGATTAAAGCAAAGAAATTGGAAAAAAACAACACCTTTACCTGTGCATTTAAAGGTATATAAGAGAATATTTTATCTTTTAAAACAGTCTTGTTATCAAATATTTTGTACCAAGCATGCTCTAAATCTACCAAAATGCATTTTGATTGCTATTGTGTAATCTTCAATATCACTTACAGGAACCAGTCGACGACGAGAATAAGTGTGATGTCATCTACAGGCAGTCCTACAGCAGAAAGAACGATTACCATGGTAACGAGACCTGCTTGAGGAACGCCAGCTGCCCCAATAGACGCAGCTGTAGCTGTAATACTGTAAACACAAACACATATTATCACCAACAATATATTATTTTGATTTTATATATTTCATGACAGGGAACATTTTTACTTTTTCAAAGTTTTAATTTAAAAACAACATTCGCTGTTATTCCCGCCTTTTCGGAAATTGGGTGCATGATAAGTAGTCTTAACGCAGAGTCCCAATCATTGTCCAATTTATATCAGAGGCTGTTGTTATCTCAAATAGTTTTTGAGTTACACTCGAGACAAAAATGCGGGACGGAAGGACAGACGGACGGACGGACGGACGAAAGGATTGAAATACTGACGGAGACTATATTCCCCAGCCGCCTTTTCTTTTATACGGTGTTAGCTTTTGGCTAGTGTTGGATTTTTAGAGATGTTTTAATAACATGATTTATATCATTTTTTAAAGATACAGAACACGCGCTTTTTTGCCCGATTAGGTATGGTTTTCAATATTTTCACTATTTTACAATTTTTATGTTTTTACAGAAGATAAAGTATTTTAGTGTGTCCCGTTTCCCCAGGTCCCAGATATGAAAAATAATTGTATTTGAATTTTCTCAGAAACCAGTCATGCAGTGGTTTTCTTTATTTTGATACATCGTAGATAGTTACTATGTGCTTTATCTCGATAAAATCTTTTGGCAATAAATGCACGTGTTCCGTATAATAAAGATCACGTGGTATGGCCAATATAAGTACCAAGAACAATTTTGGCGGTTGTATTACTACTTATGAAACCCTTACCTTATAGTTACAACATTCCCAAAATTCATTGTAATGTCGTTGACATTTGCTATAAATAACGCCGCTACCGCTTCATATAGGGCAGTACCGTCCATATTGATAGTTGCTCCAACGGGGATTACAAACGTGCTGACACGGGGATCTACGTGATTGTTCACCTCAAGACAGTGTAGCGTCACAGGCATAGTCGCAGAGCTGCAGCAAGAAAAACAATCGCACTGAATAGTATACCGGTATATCACCGTAAATATAGACATGCAATCAATTTAATTTGTTGAAAGCGTATGGTAGGGTGACATATGGTAGCATGAAAACTACATAATGGAATTGAATTAAATTTTGCATTATCTAAGAATAAGATAACAGAAACAGTTAAAGCGGAAAAAGTGGGACTACTGGCCTCGTTTTCGAGTTATCTGCCTCATTTGAAAATGTTGCTTATTTTAAGGGCAGATAACTCGCAAAGGTTACCAATGACTATTTTTGTACTGAGCTGAATAGAGAAAGAACACATTTTAAATGAAATTCGATGACTTTTTTACTGTGACCAAGAATGGAATTAAAAAATGGTACAATATAAGGTTGTTGATATGAAATGACCTAAATAAATCAAATTCAAGGGGATGTTATGCGAAAATGAATTCGGTGAAACGCAATTAATTTTTGCTTCATATGTTTCTGTTATATTCTAAGATCATGCAAAGTTAAAATAAATTCGATTATGTGGTTAGTATTACACGTAACCCTACCGTACGCCTTTGCTTCGCAAAAGTTATGTACAGTGTTTGTTATGTTCAGTGTTTGTTATGTTAGTGTTTGTTATGTTCAGTATTTGTTATGTACAGTGTTTGTTATGTACAGTGTTTGTTATGTACAGTGTTTGTTATGTACAGTGTTTGTTATGTTCAGTGTTTGTTATGTACAGTGTTTGTTATGTTCAGTGTTTGTTATGTACAGTGTTTGTTATGTTCAGTGTTTGTTATGTTAGTGTTTGTTATGTTCAGTGTTTGTTATGTACAGTGTTTGTTATGTACAGTGTTTGTTAAGTTCAGTGTTTGTTATGTTAGTGTTTGTTATGTTCATTGTTTGTTATGTACAGTGTTTGTTATGCACAGTGTTTGTTATGTACAGTGTTTGCTATGTTCAGTGTTTGTTATGTACAGTGTTTGTTATGTTAGTGTTTGTTATGTTCAGTGTTTGTTATGTACAGTGTTTGTTATGTACAGTGTTTGTTATGTACAGTGTTTGTTATGTTCAGTGTTTGTTATGTACAGTGTTTGTTATGTTCAGTGTTTGTTATGTTCAGTGTTTGTTATGTTAGTGTTTGTTATGTTCAGTGTTTGTTATGTACAGTGTTTGCTATGTTCAGTGTTTGTTATGTACAGTGTTTGTTATGTTAGTGTCTGTTATGTTCAGTGTTTGTTATGTACAGTGTCTGTTATGTACAGTGTTTGTTATGTACAGTGTTTGTTATGTTCAGTGTCTGTTATGTACAGTGTTTGTTATGTACAGTGTTTGTTATGTACAGTGTTTGTTATGTACAGTGTTTGTTATGTACAGTGTTTCGATACCATTTCATCACTCATCTTTTTCTATGAACTTAAATATAATACGAGATTCATAAATCATGTTCTAATATCGAAAATACATTTTAGTAGTTTTCGATTTTCAATCTTTCGATAGAAGTTAAGCACCTTTTAATTTAGTTAATAAAGTGTGGTCTAGATATAAATTTCTCCCATTAAACTTAAAAAGACGCAGTCTTGTTATTTAGGTAATATTTTGACTTGTGACTAGAGAAAGTACTTTTTTAATGATTGGTCATATAAAATGATCACGATAGCTCATGTAATAGATGATCACGGAAAGTCATGTAAAAGATGATGACAGTATTTCATGAAATAAATGATCTTGGTAGGTCATAACTTAGATTTGATGATCACGGTAGTTCTTGTGTAATATAATTATGATCACATAATATAACTTTGATCACGATAGGTCATGAATTAGATAGTGATGATCACAGTAGGCCATTAGATACATAATGAAATGATAATGATCATTCTAGGTCATAAATTAGATTTTGATGATCACAATAGGCCACTAGATAGATAATGACATTATAATGATTACGGTAGTTCATGATTTAGATATTGATGATCACAGTAGGCCAATAGATAGATAATGAAATAATGATGATCACAGAAGGTCATGATTTAGATACGGATGATCACTGCTAGCCATTGTTTAAAAATGATCACGGTAGGTCATGATTAAGATATTGATGATCATGATTTTAGACATTGATAATCACGATATGTGATGTAATAGATAATGATGTTTAAAGTTAGTCATGATTTTATTATTGATGCTCATGTTTAGACATGATTAAGATAATAATGATCTCGGTAGCTCGAGAATGATAATAACGATAATAATTTAAATATCGATGATTGCGGTTAGTCATGATATAAGATAAAGATGATCACGGAAGGTCAATATATATTTAAATACTGATGATCAAAGTAGGCTAAGAGAGATAGATAATGATCACGGTTAGCCATGGTTTAGACTGGTATGTAAGGTCATGATTAAGATGATGATGATCACTGCAGAGAATGATTTTTATTTAGATAATGATGATCATAGGAAGACATGATTAAAATAATTATGATCACTGTAGCTCATGTATAAGTAAATATTGATCACGTTATCTAATGATTAAGATACTGAAGATCACAGTAGGTCATAATTTAGATAATATGTTGATCTTGTAAGGTCATGATTAAGATAATGAAAATCAAGGTAGGCGTTGATTTAGAAATTTATGATCATGGTAAGACATGATTTATGTAATTATGATCACGGTAGCTCATGTATAAGTCAATGTTGATCACTAATGATTAAATAATGATGATAACGGTAGGTCATGATTTAGACAATGATGGTCTCGGTAAGACATGATTTAGATAATTCATCTAATAAACACGGTTCGTCATGTTTTGGATTACCATGATCACGAGATGTAATGATTAAGATCATGCTGGGTTAAAATGTTTTGGATAATAATGATCACGGTAAGACATGATTTAGATAATAATGATCACGGTAAGACAAGATTTAGATAATAACGATCACGACCCAGGATATGTCATGTTTAGATACCAAAGATCACGGCCATGATTAAGATATTGATGATCACGCTCGGTTTTGTTTTGGATAATGATGATCACGGTAAGTCTTGATTTAAATAAACATGATCATGGTATGACATGATTTAGATAAACATGATCATGGTATGACATGATTTAGATAAACATGATCATGGTATGACAAGATTTAGATAAATATGATCACGGTTGCATTTGTATTAGTTAATGGTGATCATGGTAGGTAGGAATTACATATTGATGGTCACAGAAGGTAAATAGATAAATAATAAAGATTATAATTTAGATAATGATGATCACAGTATGTATTGATGATCACAGAAGGTTATGATTTAAACCATGGTGATACCGGTAAGTTATCACTTAGATAACATTTTTTTAAAGCAGATCATTTTTTCTAGATAATTGTGATCACAGTAGGTAATGATTAAGATCACGATGGTCACGATTCGTCATGATTTAGATGCTGATCACATTAGGTAGGCCAGGGTAAAGAGAATGATAATTACGATAAGTAATGATTTAGATTTTGATGATCACGATTAGTCATACTTTAAGTTTTTGATGAGCACGGTAAGTTATATATTAGATAATGATGATCATGGTGGCTCATGTATTAGTTAATGATGATCAAAGAAGCTCATGTATTAGTTAATGATGATTACGGTTGTTCATGTATTAGACAATGAATATCAAGGTAGCTTATGTATTAGTTAATTATGATCAATGTAGCTTTTGTTTAACTTAATGATGATCACAGTAGTTCATGTTTAAGATTATGATAATGAAGGTAGGCCATGCATTAGATAATGATGATCACCGAAGCTAATGTATAAGTTTATGGTGATCACAGAAGCTCATGTATCACATAGGGACTCTCACTGTAGCTCACATTATATCTATGCGTGTACCGTTTATAGCTTACGGTGAGCTGACAACGAATGCAGATTATGTACATCGAATTTATTTCCACAGAAATAAGTATTCTGTTATAACGTATATATAGGTCACGTCTGGTGACAAAATTAAAATTGTAATCATTACTATTTTATGGTCATTACATTTGGTAGGGAAACTGAAAATGTCCCCCAACACTTTTTCACGTCTGCGGATCAAATGATAACATCACTTTGACCGTATTCAATAACGATACCCCACAGACCCCCGTCCCCAACCCCCTCCTGCAACCAACGCCCCAACCCCCTCCTGCAACCAACACTTTTGTACATTTTGCGTCAAGTATGATAGCATGATTGTGCCTATAACTTCTTCAATAGTAAATCTTCTAAAATTGACTCCTGAAATTTGATAATAAAAGATTGATTCTGGCACTTCTTTACAAACCTTGAGGAGGTTCCAAACGCTGTTGCCAAAGCTTGTGAAATTCCGTAAATAAATTTGTACGGATTTTGTCTGGTCAGAGCAAAGAAAATGAGTGGCAATACGCACGATCCATGCACAAAGAGACCAAGCAACACCGTTATAAAGTATACTCCCACCTGACCAATCATCACTCCAAAATCTTCCATCTCCACAATTTTTCCGGCGATCAGAAACGCTATTCCGACTGGCGAATACCTGAAATCAAAGTACATGTGTTTTTACGACATTTGTTTAACAACAGTTGCGTCAACAGCAATATTCTTTGATTTTATAATTGTCTGTCCATACAGCATTTACTTTCTTTAAAGTGTTAGTTCATTTTCAAGTGTTTTATTGCCAGAAAGATTACATAGTAAACAATATTGTTATAATGAAATTAATTAATTTATACCATATGAAAATAACAAAGATATTCATAGTAGCGTCGGCCAAACAGTTACAAAAGTCGACGAGCGGCTTTCCTTTAGCTTTCATTCTGCCGAGTATAACACCCATGAGAACGGCGAAGACGACAAGTCCTAGAATGTTAGTGGAACCAGTAGTCGAACTTCCGGGCTCTAATATCTGCGTCGTTATATCTAAGGTAAAAAAACAATATTTTGTTACTCAAAGAACAGCAAAATTATATTCTTGTGACATATCTCTTAAAGGCACATAAAGCCTCAAAATGCTATTATTTTTAATTAAAAAAACAAAACAACAACAACAACAAAACAAAACAACAAACAAACAAAAGCACACAATTTTTATGGAATTTGGTTACAGTTTCAAAAAGAATCTCGTTGACCAAAATGGCTAGACAATCTTTTCTTTTTGCAGAACAGTATAGTTTGTATGGAAGGCAAAATACCTCTTTTTTACATTTTGCTACCTTTATGACAAATTATTCCGCAATCAGCGCTATTTTCTTCAGGTGGTAGGCATCTTAGACACCATTACAAAATTATAAAACACATGTTTCCCCTTCTTATAGAATAAAAAATTAAATGTATATCTGAAGCTTATTGTGCCTAGAAATTATGACAGTGAAATGTGCCACTAATTTACAGAGAGAATTTATATAATTATACATTGTATATTAATATTGGGGAAAATGTCACATTTTGTCTTCTACAACACTATAGAATTTGGTAAATAAGCGATGCTTATAAATATTTTATTGGTATTCTGGTGGGAGTGTAGGTCAAAAGCCCTCCCGGACAAAAGCCTTCCCATCCAAAAATGACAAGATGGACAAAAGCCCTCTCGTGGAAATGACAGGACGGACAAAAGCCCTCCCGTGAAAAAAGCCCTCCCACAGCAAATACATATATGTACATTTCGTACATTGAATAGTACTTTTGTCTTTTTTTTCAATACACTCAACTTATTAAAATTCATGATATTTTTGCACCGTTTTTTTTTTTTTTTTTTTTTTTTTTTTGATATCGCTTACAGACAAGCATTGTGCGCCTATTATCGATACATTTTTATTGCTTACCATGGATGTTGAAAATAGACATGAGCTCCTAACTACTTCATGTGTAAATGATTTGAAGCAAAAGGATCAGACTGTATTGAAAATTGCGTATGATCTTACGGGTGGTATGGCCTATTATGCCCCAGGGAAGCTTTATTTTTATTCATCAAAAAGCATTTTTTATATTATTTTGGTGTGCTGTTACAGTTTCCAAAGGAACTAATCGTTTGCCAATTTCACTGAACCATATCTCTTGCTTCGGTTGTCTTTTTGTAATTAGTACAATTATAGTGATTAAGTGTCTTGTATGGCAGTCAAATATAAAAAATGCACTACTTTGTTTGCAAATAATTTTACATTCAGCTCCATTTTTTCTTCAGGTGATAAGCATCTAACATGCTGTTAATCCATTATTAACATGTTTCAAAACTCATATTTGCCCTTTAAAAAGGATGAAATATTTATTCCTTTCTGAGACATAATGTGCCTTTAAGGATCGTTCAACCTCTGTAAAAACAGTCTTCACTTTATAATGTGCCTTTAAGGATCGTTCAACCTCTGTAAAAACTGTCTTCACTTTATAATGTGCCTTTAAGGATCGTTCAACCTCTGTAAAAACAGTCTTCACTTTATAATGTGCCTTTAAGGATCGTTCAACCTCTGTAAAAACAGTCTTCACTTTATAATGTGCCTTTAAGAATCGTTCAACCTCTATAAAAACTGTCTACACGAGCACTGCGTGAGACAAGAACAGTTAACAATAGATCGTCCTCGCTGTCAAATACACTTAATTGGTCCCAATATAGCTCTTAAATGATGAATTGGTCGTGACAATGCCAACAATGCCAACAAATTGGTGGTATTCAAACATTTTTCCCCATTTTAAACTCTGTTAAAAAGCAATTCGTAAACGTTTAACCAGACAGTTGACCCAGTCGTCTTTTCAACATGTTAGAACTACAGTGTTGAAACAAAATCACAGTATCATTTACTGCAAGTATATTCCGTTAAATGTGATTTCAAGATTCTCTTATTTCCCATAATTCAACTTGTATGATCTAAAGACGGAGATGTATTTTTACAGTGAGGGCACTTTTAACTTATTTATGTAACAAAGAATCAACAAGATGTAATATCAATTAATATAATAGTGTGCGTTTTCGATGTATTTATTACTTTCTAGTAATCAAAGTGCGCCTATTTTCAGTATGAAATAACAGAACGCTTGCTTTCCCGTAATACATTTGATTTGCTCTTATTATCTACCAGGTATTACATGTGTACACCACTATAAAGTTATTATACTCATTCACAGAAAAACGTTTGTATTAAAGTATGCTTTACATACAATAACAAATATATAATTATACACCAAATTTAGATCAAGTCACATTGACAGTACCCTAGTTATCATATGACTTTTGTAGAACAGACTGAATCAAACCGAGTCTGCAACATTTTCAATGTTTTTTGCCGTTTTAATGGCGTTCTTAAGTGGATTTTGTTGTATCTCAATTTTGTGTAGAAAATAATGCCACATAATTTATGTACAAGCTTATTGCATTGTTAATTATAGAAATAAAATATCGTTCTTATACATGTTTGCAATTGGGGTACTTCTTTTTTGGGAATTTTATTCCTCAACGCTTCACATTTGTTGTATCAGAAAATAATATTCCTACACATTTCATATTTAGGTTAAAAGTAAACTTGAGTATAAGAGAAAATGTACTATGTCTGGGCGGACTTATATTTACAACAAACTTATGTAAAAGTATAAAAGTTTTTTATTGCATAAATCGGAATAAGTGTTTGAAGTTTCCGGGAGAATTTGCAATTAAATAACTTGCAAAAATCAATACAAATTTGTTTGAACACTGACGTTCGGTGATTTTCATCTTCTACTTGAATTGTTTTTACGTCTTAAGAAAGTTAAGAATGAGTCTCTAGGGAAATTAAAAATGGATTTATTTCTGTGATGAACGATATGTTGAAGAAACTCTCCGTCTAATAGCCAGTAGATAATGTTATCATAGCTCAGACACTTCTATTTTTTTCTCCTTATTGTTATTATTTTGTGTGTTTCGTTTTATTTATTGTTGTAGCTGCAGGGGGGACGAACCTAATTGCATGGTGTAGCTACGTTAAGCGAAAGATTGCATGTCGTGGCTACTTTATGTCGGATGTTAACTTTGACAAGATAGTGTCCCTGTGCATCGTACTCATAGTACCACCAAGAATAAGATCGCTGGATTGAAATTACCGTATTTGGAAATGGCCTGATCGTTATAATTGAGACATCGTACTCAAAAATAGTCCACAGTACTGCTTTGATATAATACTGTTGCGTGTACAAAAGTCTTACAGCTAATTTTTCCTACACATGATATCGGCTTTTGTGAACTCACTGCCTTAACCTAATGACTTAGTACAATATACTTAAAAACGTTAATGTTTAATTATTTGAATGAAATTCCTTCTGATGAAGTTTAATGCACTGGTTATCGAACAGCAAATAAAAGTTATCATAGTAAAAAAAGCCGTTTATGCGTGCGCAGTTTTTATGCAAGAATAAATTTAAATGTAAATGTTATTACTACCGATTACTTACAAAGTTCCCTGCATTAAATATAGAAACCACGTACATTGTACTTAATTAGAAATTTTCGTGACATTTCGAGTCAACATACTGAACTATATTTGAGAAATAGGAATTTGAAGTGTCGTGTTAGCAGTACAACCATGTGCATATGTTTTGTGCGACTAATTTTAATAATGAGATTATTGGAGAGAAAAAGCGACAGCCTCTCTTTTTTTAATTTTAAAACATCAAATCTACATATTCATAAGCCAATGCCGAAATATTACCGTGTAGCAAAATCTGTATAGGAACATAACCAGATGGGGCGTTTGAGAACAGAAAGTTACCATGTCACTTAAAGTCAGTTCTTTCTTGTTAATTTTAGAGAAAGTCAAAATGTTCACAAATGGCATACGGCGCCAAAATTCATTGTGCAGATAAATAAATTAGTTCAGCAAATGTTTTACAAAATAATCGTTTATTATGACACTACTTCCTAAATGCATTTTTGCATTCTTGAAAAAAAAACTGCAGCTCATAAGTTCGACAAATCGAATTATAAATGTTCAACGACAATAATCTATCATATAAACTAGTTTATCATTAAGTTGAAATATTTTGTTTCGATCCAGGAGAAATACCGAAAAAAGTTAGTTTGTGTAAGTGATATCTATGACATGATATCTCACTTTCAGACAGTTATCATTTGCACACCATTACCCTATAAAATTTGATTTACTGTATCCATGGTTGATACATGAATTGTATCTAATTCAGATGTCGCGAGCTAAAATAGCAAATTTCAAAACAGGTTGCGTGTCCAAACATAAGTAAATATAATGACAATTTGTCAGCGATTGATTTATATGCTATTTCCAACATTTATTTCCCATGTCAATGTCTATTTTACATCCAGCTAAGTGATTTTCTCAAAAACGAAATCTAATCACCGACAAGAAACGCGACGAATAAATCGGAGCGGTGCAATTCATTGTGCAATGTTAGCTATATTATCTGAAGCAAGTTCACTAAAGGCCGATTTATGATATACGTCTAATATCAATACTGTGTGATATCTAAGAAAGTCATAGTAATCATCGGAATCTTACTTGCGAGCTTTGTGTTTGATATCTTGGGTGATTTGAAGGCACTTTATGCGTTAGAAACTAATCAATCTTGAAAAGGGCAAACATGAATTTTATGATGTTTAAATAATTGTTTTAGACCCTGTGAGATGTTTGTTACCTGAAGAAAGGGGCTGGCACTTAATGCTAAGATGCCACTGTTAGGGTAATTATAAAAAGAAATAAATTCTGCTTAAAGGCACACTGGGTCTAAGAAATGTACTTTTTCTGTAAAGCGAGCAAACATGTACTTATTGCCAAAATGTCAAAGGCGCAAATGAACTTTATGCCAAATGAGTAAAGTTTAAGATACTGTAAGGATACCTTTAAAAAATAAAAATGTTTGCCTTTTAAATGTCAGAAGTGATAATTAAAATGTATCAAAGCACTTTTTTGAAACATTGATATTGGTGA